TTAAAACAAATGAATGAATAAATAAAATTAAATAAAATATATACTTTTTTAAATCGTGTGCTCAGGGGCCAGCAGGTGGCGTGGTAGTTAAGCCACATGGCCAAGAATGGTTCAAATCCCAGACCCAGCAGTTTGAAACTCATGCCAGGGGTGTGTGTGTGTGTGTGTGTGTGTGTGTGTGTGTTCAGAATCCCAAGAGGAGTAGGAATTGCCGTGTGGCCATCCATCTTGGGAGGTGGTTTCTCGCTTTCTGTCTCCCTGTCTCTCTCCTCCTCTCTCTGGTGAGCACACGTGCCCTATAGCAAAATTCTCTTGGGAAAAAAAAAAAACAAACAGGACCAGCAGATGGCATAATGGCAATGTTGCTGGACTCCCGCGTGGTCAACCATGTTTAAGTCCCAGGCCTGGTGGTTTAAAACTTCTGGTGTGTGGGGCCGGCAGGTGGCATGGTGGTTAAGGCAGCTGGACTCCCACATGGCTGACCATGGTTTACCCTGGTAACTTTCACACTTTCCTTCTCTCTGTCTTTCTCTGGTCAACTTAAAAAAGAAAAAAGAAAAAGAAAAAAAAAAAAAAAAGAAAATGAAAAAAATTAAAAAAAAAAAAAAAAAAAAAAAAAAAAAAAAAAGAACTCATGGTGTGTGCATGTGTGTGTGTGTGTCTGTTTGTACATGCCCAAAATCCCTAGAGGAGAATAGAGGAGGAGGCCATTCCCCTTGCAGAGTGAATCCTCACTTTCTGTCTCTGTCTCTCTCTGTCTCTCTGGCGAGCACACATGCCCCTTAGCAAAAATCTCTAAAAAAAAAAAAAAAAACATGTGCTTATCTAGAAATGACTATGTAAGATGAGAGTTACAAGATGGGTGTAATGGCTAATTTTTTTTTTTAGGTCTTGTTTTGTTGTTTTCTGTTTATTGTTTTGCCACAGGCTGTGTGCGCTTGCTAGAAAGAGAAAGAGAGAGGGAAAGTGAGAAAATCACCGCCCCACCCCCCACCCCCCCGGGGCGGATGGCCACACCACAGTCCTTCCTCCTCCATTCTCCTCTCGGGC